AATGGGGTGATGCCAAATTTCGATAAATTTTACTCGATCACGAATGCGGGAATGCCAAAACAAAAAATTTCGGCCCCTGAACTCTATTTACTAGAGTTGCCACGTGTTTAAAAAATGTTATTATTATACTTCATCTGTGAANAAAAATTTCGGCCCCTGAACTCTATTTAGTAGAGTTGCCACGTGTTTAAAAAATGTTATTATTATACTTCATCTGTGAATAGAAAAACATGCTTATGTATGACAATGCCAGTCGAAAGAGATCAAAAAGATTTAAGTCCGAAAATAATTTTAAAGAGGGTTTCCACCTGTTTTAGTTGTCGAGTTTATACACAAACTAAATAAACGTGTTTTAAGAAAACTTTATGTTGAAACTATTTCCGTTTAGGCGGCGTACAGATGGACAGATGGATAGCAAAGACGCGGATGATACAATTGCAATGCTTTTGACCAGTGTTACTATTTTAGCCATTTTGCAGCTATATTTAGCCGGTGGTGAAAGCAAACAGCCCAAAAAAATACGGTTTGGCCAGCAGCCGATTTATAAGCCGCTTTGCCAAAAAAATTAGCCGTTTTTAGGCGATTTCGCTATTTGCAATATTTTCTTAAAATTTATATACATAAGTTTCCTTTTTAACAAAATCTATTAGAATAGGTTAGCCTTATCTCGGACACAATTTTTTATATCGTCCGTGTTACATATATACAACTGAACGACAATTTTTTCTCGTCCGAAAAGTCTTCAAATACTGGGCCGATTTCAATGATTTGTATTTAAGCGAATACACAGAGACCCATATACATACAAACTGGGACGCGACATTTTAGCAAGTTTTGGCTAGTTTTTTAGTTAATTTAATGTTTATTCTTTTTTATGCAAATATAGCTGATTACTTAAAAAATACCGTTCAAATGCAGACCATAGTAAATAAATGGAAAGCAAAAGTGAAAAGTGAACCGGTTCGGGGAAAATTAAACTCATGATAAGGCTTATTATGGAAATTCTGCAAGTTTTCACTAAAATTGTAACTTTTTAATCAGCATCTTTAGAAATTTAAAGTTTTAGTATAACAAGTAAGTAGCGTTTATCGATGATTTTTGGCAATTTTTTTGTTGACGGTGTTTCGCATATTTTACATATAAAAACACTTGTCGAACAAACTTTGTATGGCAAAAATTTGTAACACCGTCTTTAAAAAGTACCAAAAATCAGCAGTAAGTCCTCGCTACACTGCCGGAACAAAGCATTGGCACAGCAAATTTTTTACAATATATGCAACAATTTTCATTCTAATATTTTTACGCTAGTTTCGTATAAAAATATGGTTTATTCTACAACAAAAAACATAAAAATATTATTCCTGAACTTTGTGCAAAACTCGCGAAAACTCAGCAAATTTTCATGAAAATTGTCAACTTTTTAATCAGATTTTTTTGAATTTTTTTGAGTATGTAGTTTTGCAGACCGATCAAGTTTTTTATAATAAAGTGCAAGTTTTAAGTAGCTAGGAATTACCGTTGAATTTTGGCATTTTTTTCACGCAGTCTTTTCCATACAAAATTTTTTTTTTTCAAAAATACTTTATATGAAAAAAAATGCAAAACACCTTAAATAAAAAAAAATCTCAAAAATCAACGCGATTTTTTTACTAACTCTGAACTTGCACAAACTGCATACTCAAAAAAAATTCTAAAAAATCTGATTAAAAAGTTGAAAATTTTGATGAAAATTTGCTGAGTTTTCGCGAGTTTTGCACAAAGTCCAGGAATTATATTTTTATGTTTTTGGTTGTAGAATGAACCATATTTTTATACGAAATTAGCGTAAAAATAGTAGAATGAAAATTGTTGCATATATTGTAAAAAATTTGCTGTGCCAGTACTTTGTTCCGGCAGTGTAGTTCAAATTTGCTCCTCATTAAACTAGAATTTAATATACTACTAAACTGCATACCGTCTCGCGCGTTGCAAATTCACCTAAAATAATAGCAAATAATCTCGATAAATAGTAGGCAATGCAATTTTGTCGCAATTATAGCCATGTTTACGTCGGCAGAGATCCGAAGCCGCAAATTATTAACTTTATCGCAGTATTTACGTTATCTTTCCTATACAATCTATATCTTGTTTTAAGCTCTTTATTCTTATTTAAATTAAAATGTAACTTTTCTGTTCAGTGGCAACATTTATACAACAAAGAAAATTCATTGCCTGTAAAACTATAGTGTAGTGACAATTTGTCGTGAGAAAACGTTGATGGATACAAGGATCGTAAAGTTCGCATAATTCGCTGCAAAAAAAGCTGTTTTATTTTACCAATCTTACAGATTTGTCGTGAAGATATATAAAACACAGACAAATCTTTCAACAGAGATATTTTCTTAGTTAAACTAAGCCAGGCAGCTGCAACGCACTCAGTTGGGGCGAACACGAGACATATACTTGCAAAAGGATTTTGGAATTAGGCTTCGTGCCGTAGGTGGGTGGTGGTGACATATTTGTGTGTATTTAGAGAGTTGGAGATATAAAATAGTTTCACCTTTGGTACTTTTACAGCAATTACGCACCGACAGCAACAAGTAACATAATCGAGAGTCCATCAATGGAGGTGTACCTCAATGAAACCGAGTCGCGTTATTTTGGCGACTTGTTTTTATGTTGTGACGTGGAAAAAGCTGGTAAAATACCCATGATGAAGGCGATGGAATTATACCATTCAGCAAATATTCAAAGTGACATAGTAATGGAGGTTGTTTAACATTCAGTAAAGTTTGTTTATCATTTTAAAAAAAGTATATCATTTAAAATTTAAGATTATTGCTCTTGTCGGCATACCTACTACTTCACTGCACATTTCACGTGGACAGTTTTATTCATGTTTAAAGCTCATTGCTGCTTACCAGGCTGGAATGCAACTTCGGCAAGAGGTCATTACTTCATCTGTATCATTGCCTTTGCCTCGATTCAGCTGGAGAGATTCGCCAAGCGGCATGGGTCCAAACACAGCAGCAAGTATTTCCGGCGCTTACCCTTCCGTAAATGGATCAAAAGCAATGCCGCCTCCACCAGTAGCTGAACGAAAAACTTCTTTACCTCACGGATTAAATGATTGGAAGATGGGCACCTCTGGAAGCAGCTCCCGACAGAATTCTGGAAGCTTTCAACATTTCCAAAAACAACCTGATTCTGAAATAAATTCAGACATTCCAACTACGGATTCAGAAGTTGATCAAAATGAGTCAAGCTGTGGTGATGGTGCAGGTCATGTTGTTGACAGTGGCAGTAGCGGGCGTGAAACAGTAAGCAATATAAAGCATATTTCATCACCGCTACCAACATTTTTTTGTTCTAAACAAAATGGCTCTTTAAATCTCATAAAAAAACTAAATATGTACATGTGTATACATCGACCCCTAATTGTGATTTTATCGTAAGCGACAACATAACGAAAACAATCTTTTTGTTGCAAATAGGTTACAAATAGGAGTTACAACCAAAATGTATTAAACACCTTTGGTTACAACATCCTACAAAATCACAGACTTGAAATATGTACCGTTACGGAAAAAAGCAAAATGAATTTTATCTTTTGCTTTGTTTACACTTATGTGGTCCTAAAATTTTATCGTAAGCGACACTGTGTGTATATAACTTTATTGTAAATAGCAGTTTGAACTGTAGTTTTAACGAAAGTTCCATCGGCATTTGCTACAACTGAATGCTTCAAAATCAGCTTTTTTCGCTTAAGAATTATGTGCAATCTGCCATTATGCAATTACAGCTGCAATCACTGAGTGCAGCATGCTTTGCCAATGGGTTATAAGATTTAAAAGCACATCAGAAAGATCAAAACCAGACACCTAACGGGGCGTATATTCCTAGTGTATGCTCTGGTATAGAAAAAATTGCAAGTGAATTCGAAATTTCCCTCTTAACACCAGCTTATACGGCCATATGGATTCGTTCCCACGACAGTCGGGTCTACGTAACCGGAACGACCCAGATTTATATCTGGCCAAGGATTGTCACTCCAGCAACACTCCCCAAAAAGTCTTTGGGGAATTTGTATGCTGCTACAACAACAACAACAGCCATATGGATTCTTGTTATAACTCTCGCACTTCAGCCTTTTTTTTTATAAAATTGCAGTCTTTGATTTTAATCTCTAGGTGAGAAGTTTTCGTTTAGCAATTTTTTTCCCAATAACTAGGTTTAATACACACGACGAGTCGAGATTCGAAACTTGCCGAAAATCTCTTTAATATGAAGATTTTGGCACTGAACCTATGCTCGTCAAGAATTAAATTTTTCTTTTTTGCATTCTTTTAAAAAACGTCAAAAAATTTAAAATAATAGCGCCAAAGTGGTAGTTTTATTTTAATAGAGTATTGCATGAGCTTTAACATTGCATCTACGAAGAAAGTTTAAATTATATTGTGCTTACTCAGCTGATAGGCAGTGTTTATATTTAATTTACTTAAAATTCAGTTTTTTTCAAACAATCCTTAAAGTACCCGCACTCCTTCGTTTATAAATGCCCAGATTATACAATATAAAAACTATCGCAAGCGCCAATTCTTTGACAACTTTCCTCTCAGCATGTTAAGGAAAATTATCGTAAGCGCCATTTACCCTTAGAAAATAAGGTATGCAAAAAATAAATAGTCGTATTAGAAAGCTACCATTCAATAATGTTGTCGTCCGTTTAAGTCCAAATAATTTTTTTTGTAACGCTCTCACCCCCTAGGTATGTTCTATATCGAAAAAAGTATAGACCTATTTTTTATTTATTTTGAAATCAAAAAATATTCAGAGGTTGCTCAAAGCGCTCAAAGTTTTCCATGTATTTTTAAATGAAAAAAAAACTTTTCGTGTAAATGGTATGGAATTCTTGAAAATCAATATTTTCCGATCGGAAAACTCTAGTTATCTTCAGGAGATTTTCAATAATAATACCTAATTGTTTATTTAACCATTTTATAATACTAACGATTTTTTATTGGTCTCCCATCGAACTTTTAAGGTTTTTGTGGGTTTTTGGCGGACCTATAAATTATAGTTGCTATGAAAAAATGGTTAAATAAACAACTGAGTATTATTATTGGGAATCTGTTGCAGAGACACAGAGTTATCCGATAGAAAAATATTGAATTTTAAGAATTCTATACCACTTCTACGAAAATTTGTTTTTTCCCCATACAAAATACATGGAAAACTTTGGGCGCTTTGAGCGACCTCTAAATATTTTTTAATTTTAAAATAAAAAAATAGGGGAACATTTTTTTCGGTATAGAACAATCCTAGGGGGTGAGAGCATAAAAATTCCGACATTACTTTTTCTCGTGTACTTTTGGAGCACCGTAACGAAAAGCATTTTGAGAAAGAGATAAAGTTGTCGTTTTTTTAATTGCTCTCTTTAGCATAAATTTTCGACAGCTAAAATTACAAAATGTATGCATACTTCTATTGCCGTTGGAAATGTTTATTTATGTAATAGAATATAGAAGCTTTGAACTCGCCAATATCAAATGCGTGGATGTACCTTTAATTCAATGAAAAATTAGGTAATTTGTCGCGAATTTTATGTAAACAAATACTCTCATAAATTATAAAGCAAAACAAAAACTATTTTTCTGAATTTGTTTTTGTATTGCTTATATTATGGAAATAATTTATTCACATGGAATTCGCGAAAAGGCTGACTCAGGGAATGAATGTAAAAGAGCACATTTCGTCCCGTCGGAGTTTACCGCAGCATTTTACTGAACAAAATGCTGCCCAACTTCTGAGTCCTTTGATTTTTAAACATTGATCACCTTGTTATATATTATATAAAATAGTCATAACATAAGTGTTAATCGAAATTACTTGCTTTTAATTTAATATCCATGTTGGGCTTTCCAAATTTTTATGGCAGCACCGTCACCGTGGTTCACCAGAAGCATGGAGTACCAACAGCGATAGTCCCACCCCAACAAACAGTGTTGCAGAACGCCAGTGGGCCAAAGAAACATTATGGCAGGGCTTGTTAGGAGATGAACATCGGCAGCTTCTGGGCACAGAAGAAGAATCATCTGATCGTCATAGTAGTGAGGATGAAAACGACGCTGACTTGAATAGCGTATACCAAATTACGCCTGAACAACGTGATTATTACTATAAACAATTCAAAGCTGTACAACACGATAATAACGGATTGCTCTCTGGTCAAATTGCTAGGTAAAGGCTTTTAGTTATTAATAAAAAATCAATTAAAAAAATGATTTTCACATTATCCTGTGCAGAATATTTTTCGAGAAATCTAGAATTCCGGTAGAAGAGTTACGCCACATTTGGCAACTGTGCGACGTAACTCGTGATGGAGCATTGAGCTTAGCTGAATTTACTGCTGCAATGCATTTGGTTGTGTTGAGACGAAATAATATACCTTTACCAGCAGTGCTACCATCCTGCTTGCATCCGAACATCTTGCTGCATAGTTCACAGAACGCGACTGCAAACTTACTCCTTCAAGAGCCCCCGGAAGCGGATTTGTTGCATTTAAATGATGATGATGAAGAAGAAAAAACTGATAACACGGTCATTGTTACAAATACTACAACTCAGACTCGCGTCAATGACAAAAACGCTATGAATATAAGCACTCTGTCGTCATCGTCACAGGTACGAAAAAAATAATATATGTATGTATGTAATATGTATATTATTTTTTATTGTTAAACTCTCCTCTATAAATAGACGAGTGCAGGTTCCAGACAGGGGAATCATGGCTCATTAACATCTTCCTTGCCAACTCTAACAAAGCATCGTAGTATATCGAATTCACCAGTAGCTGAACCCAATGATACAACTCCTAATTTGGCAGTTGCAACTACTTTATCTAAAGTAAAAGATAGAAATTTATGGGGCCCTGTGGTAAAAATTTTCACTTATTCTATTTTAATTTTATTTTAATTTAATCACGACTAGGACTTACCACCTACACAGTGGACTAAGTTCACGGAATCCCCTACATCTAATGTCTCTAGTCCCGGTCCGAAACCAGTAAATTTTGATATGCAACGAACAGCACAAGCGGTGGTATCAGACCCTCAAATCTTACATCCTGTGGCGTTACGTGTTACCCCCGTTGGCAAGTTAAATATTGTTGTAAAGTAATAAAAATGATTAAATATCCTTTTAAATAGGTTCAGGCCTTGCGAGTTCAGTAATTGCTGCAGAAACTGTTAACCAAGATACAAGCGATTTATCTAATCAACAACAACAAGATGGAAGCTCCAAGCAAGTTTCACAAAACTCTTCTAATATAATGACCGCAGGTTCCAATAATAATATCAGCACCGCAAATGTGATAATGCATAATCGAGAGCTCCTTCAGAATAACGATTTAAGAGCAATACAACGTCCACAAGCAAAAAAGTTACCAGCAAAAAATATTGGAGCTTTGCCGCCACCACCACAAAGGGAATCCTGCGTAGGTAATACAGGAAGTGCTTCAGGAATCTCAAATACTTCTTACTCAAGTGCAATGATTCCCACTGTTAGTGGAGACAGCAATGAAGTGAGTAATAGCAGTCAACACCAGCAGACATTACAAAATAAAAATGATCCACCGCCGTTGCCACCTCCAAGGCCACACCGACATGGTCGGAGTAGCAGTTTGGATTTAAATAAATTTAAGGCATGCGGACCTGTTAACCAACAACCCGAGGTATGCACGGTGTTTAAACTTTTTATAGTTAACATATCTTACTTCTTTCAACGTATTTATAATCTGCCTTATCCTGAGTTTCGCCTGAAAAAAAATGCACCCGAAAATTTGTCATCCGTCCATAGTAAAACCATGGAAACCAAAAGTGAAAAGTGAACCGGTTCAGGGAAAATGAAACTCGTGATAAGGCTGAATATAATTTTAATTATCACATCTCATACGTCATGTATATCAATATTTGACTATATCTACATATATATCAAACTATTTTCACTCCAGATGACAGCACAAGCAAGTTTCGACTTCCAGACTTCTACTGGTTTTGCTGATTTTACTCATTTTGCGGTCGTTGATGCGGTATTAAAATGTGTTATCCCTAATAATTTTTCCAATTTAAATTTTTCCTTATTTGATAGAAAAACATATCTTCGGAACAACAGTATTCCTTACCGCCAGGAAAATCGACGGCTAGGGCACCAACGGCTACAGCAATGGCTGTTATGCCACCAACACGATACTCCTTACAACAAACAAATCAGCGTGTTTCGGCATTTGAGGTGTATCGAAAGCCAAACACGCCACACAATTCGTTATCACCCACAGCAAAAGATTCTGAATTGCAAAAGCAACCTCGTTGTCAGACACAGCGCAATTATGCAACTCAACCCATACAACCGCCACCATCCATGCCTACGCCATTTGGAGCTCTCGGGGCTAGTGCAATAGCACTTCCTCCACAATTGGTTGCATTACCTAATGCTGATCTATTCGAAAAACGGGTAAATGACATTAGCGAGACGTTAAGACATGTAACATTTAAGCAGAATAACAGTATGGGTGATATACTGCAACATCTGCGTGAGCAAAATAACCTTTTGTTACGTTTGTGTAATGATCTAAGTGATGAATTGCTGTCAGTACAGACACGAAAACAAGAATTGCGAATGAAAGTTGAAGCACTACCATTAACTGAGACATCCGTTATAAGCAACATACAACAGCAATCGCAGCTAGGAACACGAGCTAGCTCGACCATTTCAGCCCCAGTTACAGCAAATATTACCGGCGGTTCGGGAAGCTCTGGAGTGCATGCAAATGTATAAGCCCAATATACAGCATATAAAAAAGATCGATTTGTTATCATCGCATACGTATGGCGTATACGAAGTATTGCACGCCAACGACTGTATTCTTTAATATTGAGAAAAAGTACCAGAAGCTTTTAAAAACACGTATTCTCATGTTATTGTAAGTTGCAAATAACATTCGCAGAGCCAATGTTAATAAATTGGTTGATGGGTCTGTACCAGTATTCTCTTAGAATAAACAAATTTAGCTGTTTAATATATTTTCAAAAATTATTTTGCCATAAATTCTATGAAAAGTTATGATTTAAAACATATTTACGGTTCAAGAAATTTTTTACCCATCGGATAAGAGTTAACATGATAGTTCACCAAATTATGTGCAGCTTTGAATGCCACATATTTTTTTGAATTCCATGTCTGTATAAATGTGGCACAGCTCATTTCGTGCAATCAACGATTAGGCAAAACTATGGCTTTTATTTGTTTTACATTGGACATCATAGTTCAATACAATATATTTTTTTTTCGATTTACATCTTATAATTTAGTTAATTAAAAAGTCAAACGCTTTCATTCCAAATTGAAAATATGTTAATCGCACGCTTGCCGCGAAAATATCCCGAAAAACATTTAGGTTAGAGAACGGTTATAAACCTATTCGAATTCTAATGTGTTTCTCTAAGGTAGAGGGTTAGAAGTCGATTAGATAAACTGTCGATAATTATAGAATTCTCTTCAAAAATGGGACTTAGTTATCAATATCGAGAAAAAGTTAGATATCTAATCGTATTCTAACCTTGAATTCTAATTTGTTTCTTCTAATGTTTTTCTAATCATTCTCTAATCGAATTTTAACATAGTTCGCTAACCTTCGAGAAATACTAGAGAACTGGATTAGAATTCGAATGTAAACCTAAATGTTTCTCTATCGTTAGAGACTGTGTTTGCTGGGATTGTGCACATTTTCAGCTTTAATCTATTTGATTTACGTACTAAATTTCTCGTAAGTCGTTTTTGTATATGTAGTGTTAAAGCATGTTTTAATAAAAATGCATCTTTATTTAAGTTTTTCTGATGAGTGCAATTTCAAAACTTTCCAAAATGTAACGCCAAAAGAAATGTGTAACAAAATTTGGAGGATGCAGTTACTGATTTTATATACCGTGAGCAAAGCCACGCTCATTTTCCAACATTTTGTAAAAAGTGTATTTTATTTTCAACGCATAGTTTCAAATTTTAATTTTGGGAACATTTTTTTTAGTAGGTTGCATTTTCGAAAACTACCATTATACGGATGGTAAGCATGGCCTGCGTCCGATTACCAAAATTTTTAATTGTCTGCATAGTAACACCTAAAGAAATATGTGTGTCAAGTTTTTGATAATCCGGTTTAACGGATACTGAGGTATGCACATTTTACCAAAAGTGGGCGGCGAACCGTCCATTTTCTAACATTTTATATTGGGTATCGGAACTTTTTACGGAGTTATGGTGTACGGACGGACACAGTCAATAGATTTATCTTTTTATCCTGAGCATTTTGATATGTATACACATACATATCATCGTTTAAAGTACAAAACCGCGTATCGTCGTAACTGACATTTGTGTCAAAAAAGATATTTGCTCACCGGAAGCTCTTGGCATCAAGCCCTTATCCATTTATACTTAAATATCTATACTTAGACGTAAGAAGAGATAATTAGGGATAAAAGACAGAACCGGTTTGAAATTGGTCTAGCTTTACTCTCTCCCACAAAATCTTGCCAACGTCACATACGAGGTTTTGCATTTTCTTGATGCGCAGTTTTGTAGATTAAACGACGATATGTATATCACTCATTTATTAAAATATTGTCATTACTCCAAAAAAATCATTTTTTTTTTTGCAAGTATGCATAATTACTCTGCCTTATCCTGAGTTTCGCCTGAAAAAAAGTTCACCCAAAAATTAGTCTTCCGCCCATAGTAAAACCATGGAAACCAAAAGTGAAAAGTGAACCGGTTCGGGGAAAATGAAACTCATGATAAGGCTGATTTACATGGAAACTAAAAGTGAAGAGTGAACCGGTTCGGGGAAAATGAAACTCATGATAAGGCTGAATATTCGGAACGGCCTAGTTCTCGAATCGAGTACTAACCTATTTACACATTCATTATCGAAGGTGAGACTAGAAAAAAGAGATTCGTTTGCCAATCATTTACGAATTGTTAACCAAGCCTAATAAATATTGGTTATACATTTTTGTTTTTGAAAAAAGGAAAGTATATTTGATTAACGTTTAAGTATAGTTACTTTTTATTTTATAGGTTTTTGTAATTTTTTTTTATAAGAAATGCGTTGTTAAATAAAGTATACTTCATTAAAAAAACAAATTAATTAAATTAAGAGATCATCTTCAGGATGTTATTTAGGTACATAAAAGAAAAATACTTATTCTAACTATTAACTATTTAGTTTTAACATTTTCTTGTTAAAGCGTCTTTTTTTGTTATACGGGTTTTGGCTTACTGGAAAAATGTAATTGAAATCCGCTCGAACTCTGCGTCAACATTCATTTGTTGTTGTTGAGGTTACATTAGCATGCTTACAATTTCACTGCATTCACGTCTAATTTTTTTTTTTTGAAGTTTACATTCTATATAAAAATTATATTATTATCTAAATTGCTAGTTACCAATTTTTATTTTCCCGAAAACAAACGCGCGACCCGCTTTAGTTGAAAAAATTAAACTAAATGCGCAACTTTCTCTCTTGTTATGAACGATGGAAAACTAAGGTTGGTTATGAGTTCGTTCTCAGTTCGATATTCATATTGGATATTGAAGGTCTTTTTCGCCACAATGTTTATTGGGTATACTTATTTGACAATTGATTTGAAAGTATTGGTTGATATTTTTTCACAGTTGTCGTTTTCTTTAACCCAAATGAAATCCAATTTCAATATTTTCTTATAGTGGAAAATATTTTCAAGTCACATAAAATAAAACAACGAGAAAAACAAAATTCCTAGCAAATCAGGCTTGCAGCGTAAGCGATTATAACCGGATGCAGTTCCTACATAAGTCATATTTGGTTCCGAACACAACTTTGAGTGAATAATGGTGGGCTGATTTTGGAAAATGGACCCATAAATTAGGGGGTAAAACAAGTATTAGCTTAAAGGTAGAACTCTCTAATTTTCAAATATACCACTCTTATAGCGGAGACCTCCAAATTTTTTATGAAATATGTATCCAAAGTTATATATCGACGTTCGAACTAATGCACGGTTATGCAGATAAGCAAGACCGTTTTTCAACGGTTTAAAATGTATATACAGAATATGTGTGTGTATTTATCAAAATATTCAGAATGACGAAATGAATTGGTTCAGTCGTGTCTGTTTGTAAACCCGCTAACTCGAACAATATTTAGATTTTTTAACGAAAGTCGGTGCCGAAGTTTCCTTTGGTATAATTTAGGTTAGTATTAAATTTTGGTGAAATCTGTCCATAACCACGACCACCTCCCATGTAGTAATCAACAATATTTTTGTTTTATTATTTTTTTTTACGAATTTCGCTGTTAAAATTTACATTTCAAATATATCAACAAACATTTGGGGGTACTTTTGCACCAGTCATTGCAGCCTATGGGTTAATGACAAAATAATCCTATACATGCACAATATTTCATGTATTAATTTTCAAGTAATCATATTGTCAATGGCTGGTTTACTGTATACTGTGCAGAAAATCACTTTCCACTGGTGTAACCGACAGTTAGTGCCATTATTCGCTTTTTAAGCATTTTGTAGATTTCGAAATTTGTTAGGTATGTACTTTTCCAGTTATTCCTCTTAAAAAGAGCAAAAAAATAACCAAGGGTATTGCCGAAGGTTTTTTTTTTTTCTTGTGAATACAACTGGATTTAACACTGCATTTACAAAAACAACTGGTGAATAATTTTACATACATATTCAGGAGCCAATTCTTGTGTTGTAAATACGTGAAGAGAAAACATTGTTCACCACTTCACACAAAATTACGATTCTGTGTTCTATTGGAAATAAAATTACATATCGTTACCTTAATATAGAAAGGCCCTAACTCATTTTCTTTCCAAACTCAGCTTTGTACAAAAGTCGGCAGGGTGTTCAATAAGGACCTAATACAATTTAAAAACAGCAACTACATCAATTAATTTGTTTCAGTGTGTATTAAAAACCCACGTTTTGAAGGAATCTGCAACTGAAGATCTTTGGTTTTTTTTTATATAGCTTTATGACTACTCTGTAAAGAAACAAAAGTTTGAGATATGGCCCTTCTATATTAAGATAACGATGTGTACCCAGTAGATAATTTCAAAAGTTAAAATCCGAAAGGCCTTCCTGATAGTCAAGAGACCTTCCTCTCTACATTCCTTTCTCCTTTCTCTTTTGTATGGAGTGGCACAAATCTTCTTTCTTTCACTACCCATAGAAGGCCTTACAGGAGGGCTTTTATAGGACGCACTTCGGAAGGCCTTTTGGAGGAGTTATTTTAATGTTTTTCCTTTAATTTATAAAAATCATACATCTTTGAAGTATTTGCTTACGGTTTATATGAAATATGTGTTGTTGCAACTTAAAATGTTTATTGAAATTCATTTGTAATGCTAAATAATATATACTTAAGCATTCGCGTAAACTGTAAATGGATAAGCCCTTCTAGGTGCAAAGAAGCACTTTTTTCAGCTCTTCTTGGGTAGGTCTCTTAGAATGGCTTTACTTAAAAAGGTCTACTATAAATTATCTTCTGGGTACTTGCAAAAATTGTTCACTATGAAAAGTTTTTTCACAAAGTTTTGTGGCTGTGAAAAATAATAATTGGGCATTTTGCTCAAGACATCTTCTTGTGATAAAGAACATCATTGGTTTACACTCACAACTATTTATCAAATAATAACTTGCTGGATGTAAATAGATAAGGAAAAAATTAAATTCTCGCTGAGTTTGAATTTTTTATTAAATCCACTTCACCACTTCATAGGGCGAGAATTGGCCCCACATAATACATATGTATTATTTTGTCTTTCATAATTGCACGATTTTTTTATTTACATACTTAATCGATTAATATTTGTAAATAAATACTTACTATTA